CCCGGCGCGGCAGGGCGGCCCGCCCCGCCCTCCGACGCGGAGACCTGGGGAGGCTCCTTCCCCGCGCTCTGCGCCTGCACGTCCTCCCTCTCTCTCCCTCTCGGTGCGTGCCTCGGTGCCTTTCTCCCCCCTCACCCCACTAGCCGACACTGCAAGTCTCAGTCCCCGGCCGTGCCCTTATCGGCTCAGATCTCTCCGCGCTCAGCAGCCACCCAACACCCGCCTCTGAGCCTTCTCTCTCCCACCTCCGTCCCCAGGCCCTCGCTCTCTGCCCTGGCGTTGTGTACTGCGCAGGTCCACAGCTGAGTGCATGTGACATGCGAGGCACTGTCCTTGGAGCAGAAGCCCACGGATGGGAGTAACCCCTGGCAAGGAGCGCTCAGAGGAACCGACCTGCGCTCAGGCCCGGATAAGAGACTGGTCAGAGCAGACTGGGCAATCGCTCTGCCTCCTCTGCTCTGCCGGATGTCAGATGGCAGCTGTGGGGCCCTAGCGGCCCCTCAGAAGTCACACAAAAGGAGAAAAGCCATCAGATGGGGTTCCTTGGGTGGGTGGGTGGAGGGCCACTAGGCACAGCCCAGGCCAGGGCAATGAGGCTCCCCATCCAGAGAGGAGAGGACCATAGACAAGGCAGGCTTTGGCATGCCCATCTGCTGGATGAAAAACCTGAGGCTGAGCTGGCTGGACCCGCAGGTCACGTCCTTTCCGGAAAGGACAAGCTGGCTTTAGAACCAGCCCCGGCTGAGGCTCAGACCCGTGCAGTCTCAGTGCTTTGGACGCTCAGGCTGGATTCTCCATGGAGGGGGCTGGCTCGCACCCTGTGGGATGTTCAACCTCACCCCCGGCCTCTACCCATCAGGTGCCAGTGGCACCTCTACCCCCAGTCATAAAAATAATAATTAAAAAAAAATGTCTTCAGACATTTCCAAATGTCCCTGGGGATGAGGGGGAGGGACAGGATTATCCCTGGTTGAGAACAGCTGTTGCAGAGGCCGGGGCCTAGGAGGGGCGCCTCCATCCAGTCACCACGGTCCCCCAACTTCCCTGTTCCAAGCAGCCAGGAGGTGTTGTGACAAAATGAAGATGAATACTAGTTTGTTGTGGTGGTTAATGAGAGAGAGTGGGCAGGAGGCCGGAGGAGAGAGAGAGGTTTTTTTTTTTTTATTTGGCCAGAGGGCACATGCACTTGCAGAGAGAGAGGGAGAGGAGAAAACTCCTCCCACGGGGAATGGGCAGGCACAGGTCCTTCTCTGTCCTCCCTCCCGCCTTTCAGGATTTTGAGCGACTATGCACACATGCCCAGGGTGTTTCTCCCAGTGCCACGTCCAGGACTCAAACGGCGTGGTCAGCCACGTGAGATCCAGCTGCCCTAGCCAGCAGGCCACGACCAACCAGGGACAGGAAGTGTGTGAGTGTGTGTGTGTGTGTGTGTGTGTTTAATTACTATTCTTTTCTAGTGTGAGGTGTTTTTTGTTTGCTTGTTTTTTGTTTGTTTTGGCTATAGGGCAGATACACTCACCAGAAGGATACAGAGAAGGGGAAAGTGAGAAAGTACCCCCCCCCCAGAGGGATGACCAGGCTGGAATCCCCTCTCTTCCACACTCCTCTCAGGATCTGGGGCATGCACGCACGTGCACGTGGAGCGTTTTTCAAGCTACTGGTCTAGGACCCCAACTGCAGAGTTGGCCACTGGGGAATCAAGTGCCTTA